TGGAGGGATGGGGCTCTGACACTCAGTACATCACTCTTGATCCGTGATACACTTTTGTTCAATACCTCCATCTGACTTTGAGGGACACTCTGGTCCTTTAACTGTTTTATTGAACAATAAAACAGCTTATTGATTTGGGTAAAAACACTTTACAACTCCCTCTTGCTCAAGATGGTTGTGCTCTGTCACCTTCCCTCTACATCTTCCACGTTCTTGTCAGTTTTGATGCATGGGTTTGTTTCCATCAATATTTATGTTTCTCATAAGGCTGGCTGCAAACTGACAGTACTAGTCTCTACTTCGTGCTGATTGTGTTCTAAATATAAACCATTGTTTGTGCTCTGAATGAAGTATCAATACACTTTGCTCTATCTTTGCATCATTGTTTTTGTTTTACTGATTATTTGCCGTCTTGTTTTTATGGGCATTTTATGAACATTCAAATACATTCTGGTTAGGTTACCTAGAATGGTCTATTAAGGTTGACTTAGGTGTTTAGTACTTTAAATATAATAATCTGCTACGGGAGAATAGCAACCCTGTTTATTTATTTTTGTTTGCTCCAAATGACAATATATAAACAACAACTTTAAAGCCTAGTATTAAACATTTAGTGAGAACAACTAGTCCCTCTGCTCCAATATATGACCTTGTGCTTTTTTAACAGTATGTTTTATCGAGGCACAAAAAAATAGTTTGGATGTTGAATGAAATGTCGTATTTATCTGTGATATTCTGTTTTGCAGCGTCCGACTCCAGCTTTACTAAATCAGCACAATAATTGTAAAGAAAATCGCAGCCACAAACAACTTCCACGGTGGTTCCGAGGTGAAAGTCTTTCTTCTTTAGGGGGTTTGGGTGTACCCCAGTTTTAGTTTATTCTACAAATAAAGAAGAAGCCACCCTCAAACATAGTGCTTATACAAACTCATAAATGTATGTGAAGACCTATAAGAACATACAAATCATCTAATGGATACACACTAATTCAAGTTTCCCTGTTGAATTTATTATAAAAAAACAAAAGTCATGTTTACATTCACAGTTTTTCCCCAAAACTAATTATGTGTATCTTTTAGGTCTAGCAACTGGGATGATTTATTCCCCATAAAGCACTTCTTCTTCCTTTATGCCCTTGCTGGTGAATGCATGCATATGTGTGCGCCTAACCACCACCTGTAGATCACTGAGCACTAGTGTGACATCATAGGCGGATGTTTATAGAGTGGCCGACTGGTGCAAACGCTTTACAAACGCTTTACAACCGCTCTAAACATTTTCTATTAGGAGAAACGCACTGCAGTTTAAAAAACAATGTGAATTTGGGTTGGTGTAGCGCGTTTTCCACCGTATGTGTCTCACAGGAAAACTGCTAGACATTGATCCTACAGATTATAAAAAGCCACAGTTTAAAGTCAGATATATTAAATATAAATGAAAAAAGAAATGTAAGAGATATTAAGCATTATTTTGTTTAAAAGTAACATGTAATGTAAAAAAACCTGAGATTGGGTTTAAAAAGTTTAGCATACAAGGCTACCGTACTACGTTTCCTACCAAGAGACAATGTTAGTTTCTTTACCCATAATGCCGATTTCCCCCTAGACATAATTACAGCAGAATAGGAAAATTATTCAATTATTTATATCTGGAAAGCCCAATGCACTGGTTAACATCATCTGGGTGTTTGTGAGTAGGTTTCCTGGTTTCTCTTTAAGACGGTAAATCACTCATAATATCTTTACAATGTTTATATCCATGTTCCTCCGCCTCCTGTCTTTGATGTCCTCAGTGCCTTCACCTAATTACAACCGGCTGTGTTCTCCTTCAGTTCTTTATGCACTGGTCTCAACAATGCTGCCACTGTGTCCCTGATCAAGGTCACAGAACAATCCATCGATAAAAGTTGTTTTATGTCTACACCTCTGTTCCTAAGTGCTTTTGTGATGTAAGAAATAACCTTACATTTAAGGATGGGACTGTGATGTCCTCTGCCTTTGAATTTCTTTTTAACTTTAAGTTTTAAAAAAATGAAGACACAAGAAACAGATTGAATCACGTCATCAAGTTGCAGATTCTGTCAACAAACATTTGCATACAATGTCCAGGATTGTTAGCGACAACCTGTATTCTTACTTTGCCCTCCTTGAATATCACGGTATTGCACTTAATTGCTGTGTCCCTGTGATTTTTTAAAGAAAACCTAAAGGGTCGCTGTCGATTCAGTGGACCTCACTCTCAGCTCACTGGAGAACACGTTTACAAAAATGAGAAAATCAACCGGAGTGAGATAACTTGTCTGGCACAAGTATACAGCGTAATATGCTCTGATCTACTTTTGACACTGCAAATAATGGAGAGGAGCACCAGAGACAGACAGAGACAGACAGCCAGGAGAGATAAGATGAAGAACACCAAGGGGAACACAACCACTTATGAAACCAAAAAGCCCTGGAACTCATCACACCACAGCAAGCAGAAAACCCTTCGCCCTCTTCCTGTCATTATCTCCTCAGCAACGACCTCCATCCCTCCCCTGATCCTTCTCCATCCGCCTGCCCAGCTCAATGACAATCAAAGGTCAAACATCCCCCTCCCTTTTATTTGTTGCAATTCCCCAGCAGCCTCTATTTGTTCATATAAAGGAGTTGACGAGGCTTTGATGGAGTGTGGTACTGTGTGTGTGTGTGTGTGTGTGTGTGTGTGTGTGTGTGTGTGTGTGTGTGTGTGTGTGTGTGTGTGTGTGTGTGTGTGTGTGTGTGTGTGTGTGTGTGTGTGTGTGTGTGTGTGTGTGTGTGTGTGTGTGTGTGTGTGTGTGTCTCACCAGCTGCATGCTTCACTTAATTGCAAGTGATGATATGCTCACACAGGAGTGACCATGCTTTCCCTGAAACACAGCAGAGCAGTTTAAAGTGTGTCTCTTGGTAAGAGGTTTGTGTAAAAGACTGAAAGCTGTGTGTGTGTGTGTGTGTGTGTGTGTGTGTGTGTGTGCTGTGGTGCTTTCATCTTTTTCAGGACTGGTTTTAGACCTTGAGAGCAAAGACATAGTTTGAAAGATAGGACATTTTTGTTCCGGTCTTCCCTAACAGAAACACTTTTGGGGGTTAATGTTCAACAACCATTTTAATTCTCACTTTCTGTATAATATGAACTACAATGGTTCTGCAGCTATCATGACTCATTTTCCATAGCAGGATACAACAGTGTTGGGACATACAGATAGAGCAACTCATGGGCTTGGCCTTACTCGTGTCACCCATGGGTTTCTGAAGAAGTGTTCAATGTGGTTTGCAATGGCCGTCAATTACTTGATAGAGATGACCCCTTGAAAAAAGAGCTAAGAGGTAAATCGTCTCTATAGGGCTAATGTGGGCACTTGTAACGCAGTCAAGCAGTGGCTAACACCTGTGACGGCACCTGTCTGTAAGCTCCTATTATGCACAACTTTAAGTAAAAAATAAATAAACGGATGGTTGTAAAAAAATTCATACCATATAGTGATTGGGAAAATTAGCAATAGCATACCAAACGCGTTATTTGTTCCAGGCTGTAAACATCTTTATTCATTCTATACAGTTGGCTATTTTTGAAGGACTTTAGGGACTCGCTTTTCGAGAAACTGCAGGTTTTTACGCTATTGCATTGGCTTCACTTTTTTAGCACCATGGTATCTGCTTGAAGTAGAGGTGTTGCCAAATGTTTTTCTGGTCATATGCACATCGTAGCTCTTTTTACCTTATGGGTGTGATACAAGGTTGATTTTCTCTCTTCTAACATTGGAATTTGAAATGTACAACATCAACAATAATCAGTTGGATAATGAATTGTAATGCTATAATATAAATAATGTATATAATATAATAGATAGATGAACTCAGACGATTGCTAATAATAATTTGTATCTGTGTATATAAGTCCCTCTGTGAGGGCAACCAAACAAAATAATAAAAAGTTGGACACAAAAAAACAAAAACAATAATCAGTTGGGTGGACCAATGATATAGGATTTGATATTCTCTTTGAAAGTGAAACCTGTTGCAGGTTGCTAACACAACATACCTAGGTTTAAGTCAATGCATTATGTGAACACGGTCCTCACAAGTATAGCATTGAGTGACCTAGGAGTGGACCTACCTAAAATTGACCTACATGTGCACAGCGTTCAGACACCTGAGTTTACCGAGCCCGGTTCTGACTCATCCTGTGTGTGTGTGTGTGTGTGTGTGTGTGTGTGTGTGTGTGTGTGTGTGTGTGTGTGTGTGTGTGTGTGTGTGTGTGTGTGTGTGTGTGTGTGTGTGTGTGTGTGTGTGTGTGTGTGTGTGTGTGTGTGTGTGTGTGTGTGTGTGTGTGTGTGTGTGTGTGTGAAACCCGGTGTGCACTGCCTGCGTCTTCAGTGTATTACGTCGCTGCATGACGCACAGTGGCGATAGACAAGAGGTGAGGGAGGAGAAGATGGAGGGGATGATAGAAAGAAGGAAGGGCTGAGGGGGGAGAGGAGGGGGAGGGGGGAGGGGAAGGAGGAGAGGGGACTTTTCTCAGACACCCAGCATGCAATGACCTTAGTTTTATTTCAAGGGGGAGGTCTCTCTCACACACACACACACACACACACACACACACACCGGTGTCATCCATGTGGACACGAGGACGTCAAACAACATCTTATTCCGCTCACACATCCCTGTCTGTCCCGCATCTCCTCTCAACACACAGACTGAGATCTAATCCCTACAGTAAACTAAGCAGACAGTAGACAACACACCCTAAAAAAAGACCCCTGGTGTTACAGAAAAAGCGCAAAATAATTATTTAAAAGCGCAGCAACTCCCTGCAGGAATTGTCCTAAAAGTATGATATCTGCCGGTGCCTCCTCTCTCATTCTGACCTTTTTAATTTCCTCAACATCTCCACCCTGCAAACGCACGGTCACGCATTCCTCTATCTTTTCATGTCTACCCATCTCTACCCCCACATGGCAAAATATAAAGCGGGGTGCTTACTGATGGTCCGGGATCCTATGCAGCCCATGTTGTCTTACAGAGGCTGGTACAGCTCGGGGAAATAAAATCCATCCGTCCAGCGGGCATTTCTCCCCGGATTTGTCTCTCTGCGCTTTCCCCTCTCCTCCTCTTCTTCTTCTTCTTCTTCTCCTCCTTCTCTCAGTGTATTTTTCTTCTTCTTCGCTGTCCTCTCCTGTGTGTGTGAGAAAGAGAGTGTGTGTGCGTGTCATCCGCGTCGCTTCCTCTCTAGCTGCCGCCGTCACGCACACACCGATTCCCCTCAGTCATTGTCCATGTCGCTTTACCACTCTCTCTCTCTCTCTCTCTCTCTCTCTCTCTCTCTCTCTCTCTCTCTCTCTCTCTCTCTCTCTCTCTCTCTCTCTCTCTCTCTGGACTCGCACATATTTAGAAACACACATGCATGAGTAGAATGCAAATATAGATTAGATGCACTCATAACATGAGCACCTGGGTGGAGTGCAGCTCTTTGAGTGATCACTGAGAGTTTAATTAATAATCAAATACAACTTTATTTATCCAGAGGGAATTTGCTGTGCAGTTGCAATACTAAGTGGAGTCGAATGCACATGTACAAATAGATATCTTATGGCCTACAATGCAAAAAGCATGTTAACAGTATGGATAATTGACAATATGCATTCTTGAACGATTTTGCAGATTGTAATTTAAACGTTGTAAGTGTCCCACGAAAAAACTTTGAAAAGGTTGTCCCTCAATAATGTTTTCAGTCAAGCATTCCCTGAGTGAACTTTTGGGAAATAAACCCACAGCACTTTTCCCTCAGTGTCTGATTTACTCAACTACAATCTTGTAATAAAAATCATTGCTACATTTCTAAATCTAGTTCATAGCAAACACTTTTTTTTTAATGCAATGTCACTATCACGCCATAGAACGCCATAGATTGAACTATGTCGATTTTCTCGATTTTCGTATATCATTCAAATGAAAACTATAGCTTCCCGGCCACGCTGAAAAAAACGAATCGTTACGTTATTGCGTTTGCTGCAGAACTTCAACTTTATGGCAGTTAATGATCGCATTTGCATTGCCAATTGGTATATAACATTTACCTGTTTTTTTTATAAACATTTTTTTTAAATGAACTTGCCCTATGCAGTACTACAATCTACCACTAGGGGTGCACCTACCCCACTGCTTACAGGGTTCTGAAACGAAATCTGACCGTTTGAACCTTCAGTTTTCCTGTTGTGGTTGTAGTTGAGGTCAATGTATTTTTTTTTATGAATATCCCCTCATTTACTCAATATACCAAGTGCCTACATCCTTATTCATCTACCCTCTCAGGAGCTGCCTTCGGATAAACAGTCGAATGTATCATTTGAACGTTTTATTATGCTTGAGTAAAAGCGAACCAGTGTTGATGCGAGCGATATCTGATGCATATAATTTGTGTCACCAGCCTGTTAAGGTCTGCAGCTGGGCTTTCCTCTCTAACAATGAACTACAGCTGTTCTCCAAACATGCCCGCCCTCCCTTCTGCCTCCCTCCATCTCTCTCTCACACAATATGAATATGAAAACACAGTGATTCAGCTCTAAGGAGTGCAGGTGAGGAAGGGCGGCGCTCTTAACTCTATTAACTCCATCTCAGACGGAGAGCTGAACTCTACTCTGAACTGCACACTCCATAAATACACAGACGGATTGACTGCAGACTGGAGCCTGGCACAGTTTTAAAGCTTTTACAACCAAATTAGAGAGTTTAAAGCATACAAAACCTCTGCCCTTTATATTGAAAGATTTCAAATGTCACTCAGATTACAGTGCACACTTTATTTTTAATTTCCTTCTAGCACAACACCAAACACAAACTAAACATGTGTGTCTTCCATACGGTTACAAATCACTGTTGCAAGCATAAAGCAATTTCCTGATATGGGTTTGCAATGGTACAAAAAGGCACAACAAACGACTAGGTTAGGAAAAGATGGTGGCTTGGTTCAAATAATGACTGGGTTATTGAACAATCATCTAGTGTTAACTGTCAGGAAGAAACAGAAACTAAATAGCAGTCAAAGGCAGATCGTTTTTGCGTTAAGCAATATGTTGACCTATTGCACGAGAGCAATACATTTTTGAGTTTTGTCACTAAGCATGTTGTTTCAGGGTCTTTTTTGGGCGCGAGGATAGTATTAATATGCACATAGCGAACCATGATGTGCAAATAATGAGTATTTCTGATGTATTAGCCATTGGCTTTGTAGTTTTGGCATTCAATTTAAATTGTTATACAGTAGTGTCATCATTGCTCTCACTTAGGTCATTGAGATCTCGGAACATCGCAACATAACGAAGGATGAAAGAGTAAGACACAAAAAGCAATATCACAGAATGTTATAAAGCTAACATCTAAATCATATTTATTTAGAGCACAGAATAAGGAATTTGAGGAGTTCAGAGTAAACAAATGATGATGATTGATTGATTTCACACATCTAGAAGCTTTTGTTCCTAGACATGAGGTCCCAATGAGAGATAGGAAAAACACGTTTTGTGTTTTAGTTTAGAGGACTTGGATCCAACCTGTTTTACCCGACAAGTCTTCTTGTTAGCAATGGCTCCCTGTTCCTAAACATCAGTAGTTAACTTGGTGATCACATAGTTCAATAGAAATGATAGCCAGGTCCATGAAAAATGAGAAAAACTGTGTAATAAACTATGATGATGTGCCTTGAGTCAAATGTTTTAATGCCAAAAAAAGGAGCATTGATATCCTGAGGTTATCCAGAAACATTTAAAATGACTACTTTTGAAGATGTATGCTTTGAAAGTATAACATAAAAGCAAAAAATAAAATAATAATACTTATTTATACCTTCACATATATACAATATGTAATGAATGAGACTTGTGTCACTACTAGAAAAATAGTAAACATGACCTAAAAAATAATAATGTTAATGGCTGAAGACTTGGATCCTGCTTTTATTTGTATGTTCTTTAAGTCATTTTGTAGATTAAATTCAGCTGAAACAAAGTGTCCAGCCTTGAACTAGTTCACGTCTGTAAAAAGCTGCATCATCCCCTCAGGTTTTATTAAAAGCGGCCTGTTGCTGTGGCAGCTCTTCATCTGGACTTTTAATTACAGCTGGCCCATCAGACCAGGCAGTATAATTCACCTTAACGCCAGCACGCGGTGCCAAGCTGTGAATGTGTCATCCTTATCTGTCGTCACACCAGCACAGTCTGAGAGGTTCGACAGATGTACAGTCTCCACTGCCTCGCTGACGTCATCTGATGAGGAGAAAAACCCATTTGCTTCTGCTCCATTGAATGCAGCCATTTATTTAAACACGTAGAGGTTATGTTGTTCAAAAAGGGGATAATCTAATCAGAAAGTGAACACATCAATTAACAATAGCAGCTATATATTTAGAAGTCTGTTCTGTGAAATAACTAAATAGATGTTAAAGTGTATTGACCTGTTTTTCTTGTTCAAGTCACACTAAATTTGAGTGATTCAATCAAGTAGTATTTATTTGCACTGCAGACTGTCTGTAAATGATAACACAATCAGAATACCTTTATTAGTCCCACGGAGGGGAAATGTGCGTAGTTACAGCAGGACAAAGAGCCACAGGCAGCTTAATGTTACATATGTTAAATATGTGACATGCATTAAAAAAAGTACTAAGTTATGATATAATAAAAAATAAAAAGTTACATAATTTAAAAAAATACACATCCTGTAGCAGTTCTTAGGATTTAGGTTGTGATTTCTTGTGGTTTTATCATCATACAACTAAGCTGACAAGTTGATATACACTCCTATTGAATCATAATCCCACACCATTGTGCATCATATTTATTTATTCGTGACCATTTGGGCAGCAGTTGGTTACTTTATTTAACTAATAACTGTCACAATATCCTGACCGTAGTGAATGAGATAGAGAATCTGGGGGGGGGGGGAAATGAAGTGTCTGCCCCTTGCAATAACTTCAATCAAACTGCCACACTATAGGCAGCCATGATCAAATAAGAAGCAAGATGATGTTCCTGAATTGCATCTTTCTGTCCTCAATGTTCCAGAAACACATTTTAGTTTACTGTTTACCTCAAATATAAGAACATGACCTGGTTGCCATGTTGAAAGCAATCGATCCAAAACCAAGCATCAGATAGAGAAAAGTTTTCATTTTCCATCTACACAGTACACTTAAATATGTTTCCGCAACATTAGAGGGGGGAAAATAAGCAATCCAGTACCAACATCTTGATTTATAGTGAATTTAGTACTGCCTAGTTTGACAGTTTGAACAGAGTTCACCAGCAGCCATTCCTCTGTGCTGATTGGTAGTTTCTGTTAAGAAAAACAAAGTGACCCTTTTAGCAAATAGGACATGAAAGTTATTAGAATAAAGTTACCAACTGCCTATTTTAAAGTGGCATTTACACTTTATAAATACTAGGTTGCTGATCTCAAGCAGTCTTTAAAGTTATTTTAAGACTTGACAAAGACTGTGAAGAGTTACAACTTTTAAGCAATCACACTTTCTGTACCTGCTTTCAGAGTCCAACAATGGACTGCAGTTGTCCAAAAAGGAATGAGTCATTTCAGTTTAAGGTCTCAGAGCCAAAAATAAATGTAGTGGGGGGGGGGGGTGGATTTATTTATGAATACAAATGTTCAAATCGCAGATAAAGACAGTCACGTGATGAGTCTGCAAACACTTTAAATTCACAGACAGACTTCACCATGATAACATCGCCTCAAAGAATAGTTGCAAATCCAGCACTTTACTCACATATCAAAGTTAAAATGGTGATTCAAATTTAAAGTTGGGGAAGAGATGGAGAGCATGCGGGTGTATTTCAGTAATGTGTCTGTATGGAAGAGAATAAAGAGGGTAAAGAGGGAAGATACAAAGACAGAGCGGGAGGTAGAACCCAGGCATCAGCGGATGCTTTTCAAATATAGAAAGTGAAGGAGGGATGGAAATGGGGGGATGAAGGGAGGAGGAGGATAAGTCTATGAGTCATGCTGAGAGATGAGGACAACGAATTCAAGCAGGGAAAATATATGGGGAATATGAGCTTCTTTAAGAATAAAAAACTTGAGAGAAGAGAAGGAGGTATATTAGTATTCTGGCTGAGAGTGGAAATGAAAGACAAGAAAGAGAAGAGGAGTTGGAGAGGTAAGGTGAGAGCAAAGCTAGAAACAGGGAGCTGACAAGAAGGAGAAATGTTATGTATCTGCATCTGAAGACAAACACGTAGCCTACTATT